CAGTTATCAGACGTCTGATTTTATATGTTATGTTATATAACTGTTATCAGACGTCTGATGTTAGATATCCGTTTCTCCTCAACATGCACTTTTATTTTTGATAATTGTTAAGATGACAATAGAGTGTGAGAGAGATCAATATATTATTGAAAACAAGAGAAAACCAAACTTTACGGAGTGAGGGCGACAACGATGGAAGATGAAAACGCTGTTACTCCAACTCCGTGCTTTGCACAAGTTTCACTTGAGAGATGTTCCAAACACGCGTGATCAGATTCTAAGTGACCAGAGAAGATCCAGATGCGAGTGATCAAATTGCTTTCTGTGAATTCCATTCATCCTTATAAGTGGAAGTCCAAACGAATGCCGGCTACATACCTGCGATGCATGCATAATAATAACCTGAAGATGAAAACTGCGGGCAACTCTTGTCGCCCGCAATAAAAGTGGTTAATAACTCCCCGTTGCATGTCGTTGAAGGTCTCTGTAAGTGTCTCATGTTTTATTTTTGCGGTAGTTTGGCTGAGCAATTAAATTCCCAAGAAGTGCAATTCACGTCAATCAAAGTGTAAAAATGAAACATCTTATCTTTCCAAGGGTGAAAAACGGCATACTGTCTCTCACAAACGAGAGAGAGAAAAGACCAGCCATTCCTGTCCGCCATGCAGAATTTCCTTGAGTAGCCTGACCTTTTGTTTCTTCCGTGTGTAGTCTTGTTTGTTCCATCAGGAGGTGTCTCAAAAATATTAATGAAGTGTTTGATGTGTCAGGGGGTGCATGTATAATATTGTAATGCTTTAACTCAACTTAATTCCGCCCTTTAGAGCTCAACTTGCTTCTACGTGGCTTTCCCTTGTGACAAGAATCACTTACACACTCTTTTAAAATAATTTTAGAAAATCTCTCAGAAAAGTAAGTAACAGGTATTTTATAGGATTACCTTGCACTACTTTGAAGAAAATGGGAATGCAAAAGTTTTTTAGGCCGCTTTCTTCCCGTTTTTGAGTCTTTTCCGGACCAAAACAAAAAGGCCATTACCCCTCCCCCCAAGGGCACAATGTGCCTCCCCCCGTGCATATTTGAGTGGGGTCCATAGCTTAAAATAATTAGTGCAACTAGTACTATCACTGTGCCGAGTTTGATGCTTTTACCCCAAAGTGCACAATTCAGCTATTTTTTTACACCATATGGCTGGACTATAATTGTTTCAAGAGAAAGTATTTCAAAAAAAGTAGTTCCAAGTTTTCATGTGTGCACCCGAAGCTACCCGAAAAAAGTTTACTTTTTTCACAGTTATTTTCTTTTATTAAGTCTCGGAGAGGCGAAATATTTACCGAAAAAATCAAATAACGTTAAAAAGCCAATTAATTGTGACGCCTTTTTTTTTCTCATTTAGAGTCCAAGACCCATACATCTCTGTTGTCTTCGAAGCTTCAAATCAGATTCTAAACAGACTTATGTAAGACATTTATTTCATTTATCTGATGCAGTCAAAGCTCTCGTAAGCGACCGCCTCGAAGTGGTCGAATGTAGACTGAGCTTTTCGTTTGCGAGAATTTGCTTTAGTAAATGACTGTGTGATAAACTTGTTGAGGACGTCGCTTGCAAGAGCTTACGACAAATAAAGCTTGGCATACTGTGTATGCTTTCAGGTAAAATAACCTGATTGAAAAGTCTCTTTTTATTAAGGATCACTTCTAAAGTAAACGGACCTTGTAGCGGCGTCAGCTGCAAAACTAAGATAACTAAATGTCTCACAGATTCCACAAGGCTAAGGTTTATTGGGCAAACTCTTACAGCGATCCTGTTGTACTGGGCGTGTTGGGGCGAACGCTTACTCAATGTGCCGAACTTTCCTGAGCGGTCGCTTCCCGGGGTCGCTTACAAGAACGTAAAAACAAAGTAAAAAAGCCGGCCGATGATTCACAAAGTGGCCGCAGTCACTTACTGGAGCTTTTCATTACCGAGCTTCGATCACATTTGAAACCAGGTTTCACAATGTTGGTATTAAATAGAGCTGGTCGCTTACGAGCGTGATCTCAGAACAACATCGTCATGGGCATCGGTTGACCGAAGAGAAGTCGGCTGTAATTCGTCTCCAGCTGGCTCGGTGTTGGGCAGTGCACACGATGTCATCCCCTGAGAAATGCTTATTGGGGTCGATACATTCCCGAACCTAGCTGGAAAAGGAAGTATGCGTCCTCCCTGGGGTCTTCTCCCGTGTGAGAGCTCATACAACGCACAGATGTTAGGGGGTTTATCCTTCCCCATGCCGGAAAATGGCCAAGGAACTTGAGCGGATGTGAGATGACCGTAGATAGCAGAAAAGAACAACATTGCCATAAAACTATGACATTGCTACTTTTGTTAGTGGCTTCACTAGTGAGTATAACTCTCATACTTGATATTTTCTAGGAATCCGCTTCATCATGCGGACGAAATCTATAAATTAACGCCGGCTGGAAGAAAGTTCTTCAAGAATGGTGATATTGCAAAATCCAAAGCACACCAAGTTGTAAAAGCTAGAAGGAAAGCCCTACAAGACGATGTGAGTAGAACATTTCGTTCTATTTTTTATAAAGATTTTTTCCGGAAGTTTCAAGAAAAATACTATTTTTTACCTTATTAAGTTTTCTTATTATCCTTTCTTTCTTGTATTGGCGTAGACTTAAATGAACGGAAAATAGCGGCTTCGTAACTGAGCTTACGGGGCCAAATATTTAAACGAAGTCCAACTTAAGCCGCGGTTTAACGAATATTTGAACCTCCAGATCTCTTCTTTGGTGGGTTGTTTTAAGACGATAAATGCTTTCCTAGTCTTCTCTGTATGCTTTCATAAAACTGTTCACAATAAATGATGTTTAGATAAAATCGTTGGGCAAATTGAAAATGACTTAGAACGCGGTTTTGTTAAACACTGGCTAAACTACGCTTAAATATTTGGCCCATATATACTTCACGCGACGAACTGTCTACCGCCATGAATCATTATTGACCCTAACTGGTTCCCAGTCGTCTCTCGTCTTCTTTACAACATGTGCACTGGAAGCGCGAGCGAAAAATAACGAAGTGCCACCGGGGAAAAAGGCACCCTGGCAAGGTTGTGGGATCATTTTCAAAAGAAGCATCATCTAAACAGCCACAAAGGTCGTAGTTGTACTTGCCCCCGCAGTTTTAGAAGACGACCCAACCAAAACATTTCCTTATGCAATGTTTATTTTTTTTTAATCTTTCACCAGGCAGAGAAAGAAAACCTGAGGAAAAAGAAACATTTGGACTTCCTCGACATTCTTTTAGAGGCTAAGGTATCAGTTGATTTCTTTCATTGGAAATTTCAGATCATGATACGTTTTTGGGAAACTGCCCACCTACCCCTCCCCTAATCCAACATTTTGCCCTAAAACATACCACCACTAGATTAACCAAACAGCAATCAGGGGGAATTAAGAATACTCTCCCGTGGGTATTTTACTTAGGCCCCGTTTATATGGAGAAAGGCTCCCGCGGGTAGAAGGGTCACCCACCCCCCCCCCCCACCCCCCCCCCCCCCCCCGCCCCCCCCCTTCCCCCACAACCCACACCCCCCCAAGCACAAAAAAAAAAAACAAACACCAAACAATTCACCACTAAACACCAAAAACAACAAAATACCTTTTTTCCATAACATCAAAGATGTTGTCTTTTCCCTTTTATCTCCGCCAAACAACACACACACAAGAGACAAATCATGTATGTTGTTAGGACGCGACCACTTAATATTTTTTTGGAAACCCCCCCCCCCCCCCCCCCCCAAACCAACAATTTTCCCCCAAACACACCCCCCCCAATTTAACAAAACACGAAAACGGGGGGATTTAAAATACCCCCCCCTGGGGATTTTTTTTTGGCCCCCTTTTTATGGGGAAAGGCCCCCCCGGGGGGAAGGGGCCCCCCCCCCCCCCCCCCCCCTCCCGCCTATCCGGGTCACCCTTTTATATAAACAGTTTGGCTTGCCCAGCCAAACTAGGTCCACTCGGTCAAGGCCAGTGTGCGCGAGCGCTGTTCGCTCGGACAAAGGGGTCAACTTTTTTTTCATATAATTGCTCTCTCAACTTGACTTGGCTGGGAGGGTGACCCCGGAAGGTGTACTCCCTTATATAAGCTATATAGGTATGTGCCACCCCTAAGGGTATAGTTTTTGCGCCGTTTGGGTTTAAAAACGGGTATATAGTTTAACCATTTTGGTCTGGAATTTGGTATGGTTTTCGAGAGAACTACGGGAGTGTATAAACGTATTTGTCGCTTCAAATCCAAATAAAAAAGAAAGAAAAGATTAATATGTGAATTCGAAATGGATTTTAACAAAACTTTATGTTGGCGTTCTAATCTAAGTAACTGATGGCATAATTTCATAGAAGCTAAGTCTGAAAATGGTTATATAACGTTATGGATTTTAGAGGCCAGGTCCTGAAAACCGTTGTGGAAAATGACATTTTTAGTCTGAAAAAGGGTCAGGATTTGGAGGACCGGGCGGCGCACCCCTACAAAGAATTCCCAGGAGTACCATAGGGGTGACCCTTATACCTAGGACAGGTTTATGATAGGCTATTACGGGCTGTAGAATTCTATACTCAGAGTTAATTCAAGCGAACCATTACGAGTCAGTGTTCGACGTAAATCACTTTAGGCAGCCCTTATAACCCGTCCAACGGGGTTCTGAACGACAGAATCTAATGTTGACATATATGCCCGGTACTTGAAAAATGGAAAGCAAAACCGCGTATCCAGCATTTAAAGCTACTCATAAAGATGATACTTTAATGTGCTGTTTTTCTCAGGACGAAGACGGGAATGGTTTAAACGATGAAGAAATTGTCGGCGAAGTAATGACGTTTTTGTTTGCTGGTCATGACACAACTGCCAGTGGTATATGCATAAGAGAGTTTTATTTACGGACTTCATTGTTACGGGCAATGTTTTTGGTCATCACCACCACTACCACCACTCCCGCCATCATCGTCATCATCATCATTATCATCACCACCACTGCCACCACCCCCAACACAATCACCCCAACCACCATCATCATTATCATCATCACCACCACCACCATTATTATAGTCATCAATATCATTCTCGTCACTACCACCGCTATCCCCACCCCCACCATCACTATCACCACCACCACCACCACCACCACCACCATCACCGTCATCGTCATCATCATCATCATTATCTTCATCACCACCACTACCACCACGTCCCCCGCCAACATCATCACCACCATTATCATTACTACCACTACCACGACCATTACCATCATCATCATCACCAGTATCATCACTACCACCACTACTAGTACCACTACCACTACCACTACCATCACCATCACCATCATCATCGTCATCATCATCATAATCATCACCACCGCCACTGCCACCACGTCCCCCACCATCATGATCACCACCATTATCATCACCACCACTACCACCACCATCACCATCATCATCTTCAACATCACCATCATCATCATCATCATCATCATCACCACCACCACCACTACCACCACACCCACCATCACCATCACCACCATTACCGCCACCATTATCATCGTCATCATCATCATTATGATCATCATGTTGCGAATCTCCTCATGCTTATTAGCCGCGATCAATTGATCACCGATCAATTTTTACCTTAAATGTTTTCTTAGTGATCTGCTGGACTTTATACAACTTTGCAAAGTACCCTGAACATCAAGAGAAATGTCGGCAGGAACTGGATGAAGTTTTAGGAGACAATCTTGACTTAGACTGGTAGGAGCTAATAGTTATACCCAGCATATCATGATAATTACACCAAAGGTTTTCTCTCACACCATTTTACAGACCACTTTCTCCTCATTGTAGAGATGTGACCATATCTAAGGTTTAAAGGTAGTTTAGTGGTTTTTTGTGGCGATCAAGCCGAGTTAAAGGTTTCTTCTTTATTAGTGCGAGGTGAAACGTCCTGGCAGACAAGAATTAGAGAGACTGGACTTGTTATAATGTGTCTACCTAAGACGAGGACAGAGAAGTCAGTTCAAAATCGCTCCACAATTGCCTTCTCCCAAACTTCTTACGGGTCTTGCACCCCTTTTTGCAGGTGCCGCCGAGGCGGTCTGATAAGTCTTAAGCTCGCTGCCTCTGCCAAATGCATTTTGCTGCCAAAACATGTCCACGCCTCCACTGTTTTCCCCCAGAAATGACGTCTGAGAAACAAGCGCAGCAATTCCATTCTGATGACGTGTCACTACTCAGATCTGGGTGGTGCTTCTGATTAGTTGAAGTAGATTTCCCTCGAGGTGCAACCAATGAGAAGCACCACTCAGATCTGGTTAGTAACACGTCATTAGTATGGGATTTCTGCGCTCGCTTCTCAAAAGTCATTTCGCAGGGAAACCAGTGGTGGCGCCTCGAAATGTCAACTGTTTTCTCTAGGTACCTTATGAATACGCTTGTTCTGATGTTTTTAACAGGCAACAGCTGGGAAAACTGAAATACTTGCTCATGTGTATTAAGGAGTCAAGCAGGATCTTTGCGCCAGTGCCAATGACCGGTCGCACTCTGGACAAGGCTTATGAAATAGATGGTCATCTTATACCTGAAGGTAGCGGCCACAGGCACACCAAGCTCCGCTAATAGAGAAGAGTTAGTAGCCCTTACGGCTACCTTCACACGCGGTAACGGACGAATTTCGCCCTGTTGAAAATTTCTGAGTTTAGATGTTTTATCCCCACGGAACCATCTTAACTGTACGAAAAATTAGACGCCTAGCCGTTCAAATTTCCATTTGAACGAAGTGAAAATATAGAAATGATCAAAGAGTCCAGTGAAATTTTTCAGCCGGCCGAAAATTCGTCCGATGCCTTGTGAATGTAACATAAGTTCCAAACTTTTGGGACGCAGGTTGAGACTTCGCACAAAGACGTGATGCGTTCGGATTCGACCGTTTTGCGAAATCTATCCTCGTGGCAAAATCTCCAAGAAAGGAAAAATCACTTCTGCAAGATTACAAGGTTATTACTTAAACAGGATTCTAGCAAGTGTCATCTTTGATTATACCTTCTTAAAGGATTTAAGTTGCTTACAAGTCAGTTGCACCTTCAAGTAGAGGCAGACAAGGAGGATCATTTTCCTTTGAACAAGGCAGGATATAAAAGACAGTAATAAGTGTGATAATCAACTTGTGAGCCAGTATTGGGCAAGTTACTCATTTACAGCTTTGGCATGCCTCGATGTGCCTAACTACGACAAATACGACCTTGCAAAATCCTTCACCGTGGTTTATCTTTTCAGGTACTTGGGTGATGACAAATACATACGCTCTGCATCACAACCCGCACGTTTGGAAAGACCCAGAGGTTGGTTGCTGTATTTTATCAGTTCTGTGCTAGCCTTTTAAAGTAGTTATGCTAATAATTTGGGGACACGTTTCAGCTTGATCGGATGGGATACAAGGGCCACCACTATCACTTTAATTCAATTTCCAAAATTGTCCTGTAATCTAACAACCAGCCTTCCACTTACAAGATGAAGGGATGTAGGCTGATGCAGCTCCTTTGAAAAACAAGGAAGTGACCAAACAACTGCTTTTGAGCAATTTTTCCTGCTAACATAAACTGTCAATCGGTAAAAACAACGCATTAGTACGTTTTTAAGATTCAGTCACAGTCTGATCTCAGTACAAAACAAGTTTTAACCTTTTTCATTAAGTTCTTACAAGTTAAGGCCTCATATTGCGAAGGTGCTTCCGCAAATATCTTTTTGGCGAAAGTAGGCAGCTCAGATCGCAATTAACATCGCCTATATCAAAAGTCACTAATTATTTTTCTGTCTTTGTTTGATATTCTGTAGACCTTTGATCCATTGCGCTTTACAAGTGAGAACTCAAAGAACATGTCGCCGTATTCTTTCATTCCTTTCTCGGCCGGACCAAGGTAAGCTTCATCGTGAGTTATCTAGCTATATGACAGGGTTTAATGTTGAACTGTAGGTCTCTTCTGGTGTCAGTTGTGTGGGATTGGTTGATGTTATTCAAGGCAGCCATTAAGAAAGGCTCATTTCTGCAAAAGGTTTCAACGAAAATAAAGAATCTCGATGAAGGTTTCGCAGCGCGAGTCGGCTTTTCACATGGGCTCATATAAACATGGTCTTGTTTACATCATTTGCATCTGTCAAATGTAAGCATGCGCAGTAGCCGTGACACAGCTCCTTTAACCAATCATGTATAATTAACTCTTTGCCCACCAAAACGATCCCAGAGATTTCTGCGTCGAATGCTTGTACCCATTCTCTTTTATAGTCTCTAGAGGGTCAATCATCATCATCATCTATTTCTTTGTTTTTCCACACCCCATTTTGAGGTCCTGATATATTAAGAGGTCCATTTTTAATTTGTTGAGTATACTGTTTTATGATTTGGTTAAGGGAAAACAGCAGATAAAACAAAAGAATAACAGACCCCACCCCTAGACGGCAATCCGAACCCAATCATTAGTCAAACTGGATTTTTCCTACACGCCGAAATTCTTTTTTTGTCTCTGTTTGACACAGGAACTGCATTGGCCAAACCTTTGCCCTGACCGAAGTAAAGATTACTGTGGCCATGATACTTCGCAAGTAAGTGTAACTTAAAACAATTTTTTACGCGTAGGAACGGAGAGGTGGCTTGTCAAATGAAACCAGTGCAGTCGATTTGGATTTAGAACCCAGATAACACCTAAACTTCCTAAGTTAAAATTTTCAGCCGCTATAAAGTGCTTTTTCGCAAAGTATTGTCTTTGGATATATCTTAACTTAGAAGGTCTTCATTGTGGATCCCGCTCCAGGTCTAAAAATTAGCATTACTGATTTTTCAGCGGAGGGAATGTTTGTAAATGGGTGGGGAGCCCATATTGTTCTTAAATTGATTGTTTTACTTTTCTTAACGCAGGTTCAAGTTATCCCTTGATCCCGAAAACGTCGTCCCAGTGGATGATCTGATTCCTGAACTTATTTTACGGTCCAAGAATGGAATACGGATTAATATCTCACCTCGCATTTAATGATGTAAAACCAATCTTCAGGGTCATAACATCTTGTAAATATCATATTTTAGTAAAATCCAACTAGTGGTCTATTATCAATGCTGCGTTCTGATTGGTTGAACTACTACTAGGCTATATGTTATAGCCCACTAGTAGCGAAAAGCGCCAGCTTTGAAAACCAAAACAGTGGCGGCTGAATTGCGTTTCGCTAGCTAAAGTTGTTTTGTCTTGATGTTTTTGACTAGCTAGTTGGATTTTACTAAAATAATTATTCCTCTCGCCCTCATGGCCTCTGAGTCAATAGCCCATCAGGCCTTCGGCCTCATGGGCTATTGACTCAGAGCCCATTCGGGCTGGATGAATAATTGTTAAATATTTCCTCCTTTACCCACAAGTAGAGAAAGTTTTCTCTACTAGTTTTTTTTTTTAGTTTATCGCTCTGTCCTTCATAGAGTGACGAATAACTCTGAATTCATTTGTTATTCTATATACTGTAGTTCCAGTTAATGAAATCTTTCGTACAAAAACAGCGTTTGTGCTTTATTGTATGGCTACAATAGTACGCGCGCTCTGATTGGCTGTTTTCTTGTAATGACCTAGTATTACTTGCTATGTGTCCAAGGCATATACAATCTGCGTTTAACTTGATAGTGGACATCCTTACGGACATCTATGACAGCTGTCTTTTCCGACGTCAGCGAAATAACTGAAAATAGTAATTAGTCTTGGTGCTTATCTCTCGTATAATAATAGCATTTCACAGAGGGCTGAACAGTAGTGCAATTTCGATACTTTAAAAGTCAGAATCATGGAACCAGCCCAGTGGAGGATACAAGCAAAGAAAATGAATACCAGGATCCGTATTAGCCCTTATGCATGTTTACGTAAAACGAGCAAAATTTAACCACCAAGCCTAATTTTAGAATTGTTAAGTTGCGAAGTTTTGCATAAATGAATTCCCTAGGCAGTAGAGTTGAAAAGAATACTCCCGCACAAAAAAGTGTCAATTCGAAGAATTTTGGTTACAAACGAGGCTTGTTGGTGAAATTTGCCGTATATGACGCAACCTGATAATTCCGTACTTCAAAAATAGCTGCTATGGGTTTCCTTTTTTTACCTTACAACAATATTGTCTTATGTAACTACATAATATTTCTCATAATAAACAGTATGGTAAAAGAACGCTTGTAGATATGAAATTTATCTTTTAAACTGGTCTTCTAATCGATTCGAAATCTCTATGACCCCCGCATGCCCCACATACTTTCCACTACATCTATAAGTTTAAGCTTATTTTAGTATTTTAAAGGAAAATGTGAAGACATCTCTACTCGCAAATAGCAGGACTAATTTAAGCGGGCAGAACAAATAAGATAGTTTATTACATAAATTGTTTATTATTTTCGTTGTATTTTCAATGCCTTTTGTATGACGAACAAAAGACTTGCCCTACTTAAAACAAAGCGCTGACCTAATTTGTCAATCATTTAATGTAACTTTACTTTGGGGGTCAAATCAAGGGAAATTGTGTACAGTATACTTTGTAAATTCAAAACAAGATCTCGATTGAAACACCAAAATTTTACCATAAACTGCGTTGATTTTGGAAAGAAGAATAACGCTGGACTTAAAGATTACACCGAGCAATTAAGAAGAAGTCCAAGATTTGCGTTCACTTAAATTCCAAAATGGTCGAGGTAACGGGTGATGTTTTGAGAATTTTACCTGCGTCATATTCACTGTGGATTGCATTGATTTTATCCGTGGGAGTCTACTTCCTCGTCAATTTTGGGATTGGATGTTTTCGACAACGGAGGCGTGCTGCAAAATCGGTTGCTGGTATTCCTGGCCCTCCCGGGCACTGGCTAAAAGGACACCTTGACTACGTAAGTTCCAATACTCTCTAATCATCCATAACCAAGTGCGCGCTCAACTGATATCACACTGATATCAAGTCCTTTAAGGTTATTTGGGGGCAGACTCGTTAAGACTCGAATCAGGATCAGAACTTGGCGATGAAGATCAGAATCGATCTTCGTAAAGGATCAGAATTTGACAAAGCAGAAATGAGCCCAATGATTTCGTAGCAAATAGAGATTAAAAGAGATTCGAGTCACTTAAATACAAAATTCCACTTGCACTTGGATTTAAGAAAAGAGATGTCGCAAGGGAGGGATGGTTGGGGGGGGGGGAGGGTAGGGGTTCTACCATTGAGTGACCAGTTAACACCGCACCCAAGGCAAATTACTGAGATATCTTGGGTGTAACTCCCCGAAGGGTATTGGTTTTTAGTCCTTTTAAGCCTGAAACGGGTACGCTCTTGTTATGAAAATGGTGTACGCAGGATGTAGAACTTCCAAAATTCGCTGCTTTTAAAGACCTGTCACAGAGTAGAGTAGATAAAGCGCCGATCTCACAAAAGTATTGCCATTCTAAAAAGTCATAGAAAACCTTTAAACGGTCCTCACGAGTCATGAAATGTACTAGCATTATTTTTGATAAGTAATCTACGAAACGCTTGTCATAAATCATTTTTACAGTTTTTAAAGGTTTTTTGGGAGCGTCTCTTACGAATTGGAGAAACTTCACTTCCATCACCCAAAACGGGTAATATTATCACTTTGAGTAATGACTCCAGGGGGGGAGTACTCCCTTAGATAAGCTATATAGGTATGTGCCGCCCCATCAGGTAGGGTTTTTGCCCCGTTTTGGACTGAAAACGGGTATGCACTTTGTCCATTTGGTCTGGAATCGAGTGTGGTTTTCGAGAGAACTACGGGAGTGTATTAACGTATTTATCGTTTCAATTCTAAATGAGTAAGAAAGAAAGAGAAATATGGGAATTCGAAATGGATTTGAAGAATTTTTTTGTTTGCGCTATAATCTAAGTACTGATAACATAATTTCGGCCTAAAGGCCAGGTCTGGCAACGGGTATGAATTTTATATAGGTCTGGTCTGAAAGCGGGTGTGGAAAAATTAAATTTTTTTGGTCGGGTCAGGAATCCCACTAATGATTGGAATCCTTAATCCAAGTTCCACTGACAAAGAATCCGGAATCCAGTACCTGGAAACCAGAATCCAAGATCCAAGATTCCCTTTCTTGTGACGATGTAGTCACATCACTAATTTCTATGAAATATTCTGTCGCCAGGCACGGTTCGACGGAGCCGGACTTAAATTCCACGTCAAGTGTGCAGCTGAGTTTAAGACGTGTTACAGGCTCTGGTTTGGGCCTCTCAGGTCAGCAGTGATCATCTGTCACCCTGACACCATCAAAGTGGTTCAGTCAACCAATGCGCCGAAAGAAAGATTTGTGTATGATTTTGTCAGACCATTTCTTGGTAAGGGTTAGCCTAAACAGTTTTGATTGGTAGGGCTACAAGTTTTCTATAATTCCGTTTCCTACACTATCTCAACAACACAGAACCCAAAAAATTATGTGCATCTTTATCTACTGCAAAACACTGTTAACTTCCCTTATAAGCACCCCCCCTCTTCCTCTCCGCCAGTTAATCTACCTGTAAACAACAAAAAATATACATCCGGTTAAAAGCCCCCAGGGATAGAAGCCCTTCCCACTTATAAGCCCCCCGCCAGTTATAGGCCCATTTACCTGTAAACAACAAAAAATATGCATCCGGTTAAAATCCCCCAGGGATAGAAGCCCTCCCCTCTTATAAGCCCCCAGGGATAGAAGCCCCCCGCTGGCATGTATTGAAATTCGATTTTTACGACGTTTTGAAGCTTAGAGAAGCGAGTAAATTCAAAAAGTATTTGAATCAGCACCGCTATGTAGCACTTTGAAACGCTAGTCCGGTTATAATCCCCCCGTATATAAGCTCCCCTTCCATAATCCTTCCTAAAGCCCCTTAAAAAGTAGTAAGTACTAAAAAGCTTTCATTTGAATAGTCACAGTTCAGGATCTCATTCAGACTCAAAAGTTAAAACATCCACCATGTACAAAATGGTGAATATTGGGAGGGGGTAAGGGGGTCCAGCCTACTTCCGCTCGTCATTTAAGCACTGTTCAGTAATTCCCCTCTATCTCTCCCGCTTCCCAAGCTATTAGAACTCCCATCTCCGCCCTTTCCTCTCCCATCTACCGTATCCCTCCCTGGCTCTCATCCGGGCTCCCACCCCTTGTCTTCCCCCCGCTAAACGACAGGGCAAATTGTACAGCTCAGTAACTATTCTGGGTCAGACACACTTTACGAGTTCTAGACTACTCGCCCTTTAATCAGATACCCTACTGGTCTTTTTTTTCCCAGGGGATGGTCTGGTGACATCCGAAGGAGAAAGATGGTTCCGTATGAGAAGGCTTCTTACTCCAGCTTTTCACTTTGAAATTCTCAAACCATACGTTCGGGTTTTTCAGGACTCTACAGATGTTCTCTTGGTATGATCTCAGTTCAAATACTGTTGCAACAAATGCGTTAAGTGTCACGGGAATTGTAGCTTGCATAACCTCGATCTTTCAATTGTTCTTTCAGAAAAAGTGGTCCTCGCAGGGGAGTGGTGAGGTGGAGTTGTTCCATCACGTGAGTTTGATGACGCTGGATTCTATCCTCAAATGTGCTCATAGTTACGTAAGCAACTGCCAAACACAAGAGTAAGTGATGAGCCTTAAGCGTATGTTATTTCTAACGCTAATAACTAATCAAATGAGCTAACGTTGTTTCTTGTGTTGCTTCTTTTTTTCTCTTGTTTAGGGACCAAGACCCATATATCGCTGTTGTCTACGAAGCTTCAAATCAGATTCTTAACAGGCTCATGTAAGACATTCATTTCACGCTTTGTTCGCTTTTATTCTTTTTATACACAAGGTAACCAGGATTTCGGAAAGGGAGAAATTTTTTTCTTTGGAATCCAGAAATGCACTCAGGGAATCTGGAATCCTGCTATTGGAATCTGGAATCCCGGATCCACGTTCCACTGCCAAGGAATCCGAAATCGAGTTCCTGGATTCCAGAATCCACAGTGTGGAATCCAGGGTCCAAGACTTACATGGGGCGAAGAGAAAAAATCAGCATCATGGACGTTCAATATCAAATATGTAAGCTGACATGACGCTTGCTAGTTAAAGTGATTTTTCGTCAAGACAGTATCAAACTTCCTGCCTGGCACTCCCCTCTCTTCCCTTTGATAGTTTCATCATCAACACCCCCTGCCCCCACCCACAGAGTCTGGGACGGTCGGTCAATTACCTGTTAACCAAACTAGAGAAGGTTAACCATATGGGGCCTTACCCCATACATGGGGCGATTCTTTGATTTTTTACTCATCCATGGTGGTTTCACGCGTACCATTTTCTAATATAACAGGAATCCTCTTCATCATGCGGACGAAGTCTATAAACTAACCCCCGAAGGAAGAAAGTTCTTCAAGAATTGTGATTTTGCGAATACCAAAGCACACCAAATTGTCAAAGCTAGAAGGAAAGCGCTTCATGACGACAATGTGAGTACAAATTTAATCATTTGCGTCATTTCAAAATAAAACTTGTCGAAAACGTTTCCTTGTTTAACAGTTCTCTCATATATAAGAGTTTCTCTTTCCCCAGCAGGAGGATAAAAAACTGAGGGAAAAGAAACATTTGGACTTTCTCGACATTCTTTTGAAGGCTAAGGTAAGGGAATCTTGTTCAATGAAAATTTTACTATCTAACTTTAGACATTCATAGGTCATTCTTTCTCCCCCAAAAAGTCCTAAGACTTAGGGGAAGGCATCTGAATACAGTCCTTTCAGTAGGCAACTCTCACTTTGTTGAGCACTGGCCCGACGACGCAAGACAAGGTGCTAGCTTCGTCTAGAATTTACTGAGATTGCTTTTACAAACGAATTAATTGATGGAAAAAGTAGAAACTACCGTTTCGGAGTTTGAAATTCCAAAATCTTCGAAAGCCTACCTCCAGATTCCCATAATTAAAAAGCTCGCTCTCTTGGCGCTTGCACATTAATTTTGCCTCTTTCCAATTTAGCCCGGCTACGGTGCATCTGATGTAAGATTTCTTCATGAGTTTTACGCTATGCATCGCGAAAACTCTTTAATCATTTTTTTTTCTGAACCAGTTCGATTTTTCACACTTGTGAAGGTCAATACTTAATTGCACTGACTTCTTTCAGTTTTTGTTTGGCAGTGACAATTAAAGGGGTATTAGCTATTTTGTTCTCTTTGTCTCAGGATGAGAACGGAAAAGGGTTGAGCGATGAAGAAATTGTTGGTGAAGTTATGACGTTCATGTTTGCTGGTCACGACACAACTGCTAGTGGTATGTATACCACAGAGATGATTTTATTTTTTTTATTTGCTTTGATGTCGTTCATATTTTGGTCTTAGTGATTCATGCAACGGTTTGCATCTTACTGTTCATTAGTGTTATCGTAATCATCATCAGTATCATCACTTCCATTTTTCTCCTTCTCCTCCTCCTCATCATCAAAGTCGTAATCATCATCATCATCATCATCATCATCATCATCATCATCATCATTACTATACCATGGTAATCATGCTCAGGACTACATTTTGATCATTTCCCCTAAGGGGGAATCACTTCACGCGCCCGTCAAAACCTCAAAAAGGACCCATTGATCACTATTTACCTTAAACTTTTCCTTAGTTATTGCATGGACTTTATACAACTTAGCAAAGTATCCCGAACATCAAGAGAAATGCCGACAGGAGGTCGATGAAGTGGTTGGGTTCAATCAAGACTTGGACTGGTGAGAACGTAACTAGTAACCTAACCTAGTGACCTAACCTTCTGTGCTGAAAATGTAGCTCACAACTTTCTTATTTTCGCATCTTGCGAGCCTAGTGCCTGTTCTTCTAGAGCTTATTCCAGGCTTCTCACAAACCCTCAGCTACACCTCCCACAACTAATTTCGCTGACTTCTCTGCCAGAGATAGCCAAGAGACTCCCATGTAGCCTGGGTGCAATTGGCGTTTTCTCGTGCGTGGTTACCATCTTTCTTATACTGCTACTCAGAGTGTCACCAATGCCACCAGTAGGGTTCTTCAATCCCGTACTCCCGAGAGTTGTTTTCGGCATTTCGTCTCCAGTGCATAATTTCAATCCCGAATCTCACCCCCATTTTGCTTTAGAATCCCGAGCTTCGGCATTCAAATAAGGCAAATCCCGAATCCCGAAGAACCCGTCGGGGACCCGATCTACTTAGGCATTTTCGTTCCCATAACCACTCCTTTAATTTGCGACAGACGAGCACACGACTGGCTCTTGCAATGTGAATGTTACTCTAGCTACTTTCAATTGCGCATGCTCTGATTGTTTTAACAGGAAACACCTGAGCAAACTGAAGTACATGCTTATGTGCATTAAGGAGTCATGCAGGATATTTGCCCCAGTCCCCATGATAAGTCGATCTTTGGACAAGACCTATGAAATAGACGGTCATCTTGTTCCTGAAGGTATATAGACACAATTGCAACAGGTCTTGTCAATTTTAAGCCCTGTTATACAGGGGTTGTAAATATCATAAAGTTCTACATGTTTCGAGTGTGAGATGTAAATTTATGAAGAAAACTCTCGTACACTTTCCTTACAATTTTTAGCTAGATAACTTAATTTGTTCGCTTTGACTATACTCGTCTGCCTTTCGTAATTTTCACTTCTGATTTAAATCTGAGTCTTTTGGCAAACGCCTTAAAACAACGACAATATTCCACCATTTCAGGTTCCTGGGTGATGACAAATATATACGCCCTTCATCACAACCCGCACGTTTGGAAGGACCCAGAGGTTGGTCGATGTAATTTGATCAAATAAGAAACTAGAAGGAGTCTTTTAGGTTTAGCGCCGTCAAATGTCGTGTGATCTAGTAACCACACTACGCTGGTGGATCTACAATCTCGCTTTTGCGGAGAGGACAAGTTTTATTACTTTTCAAGTACTGTTACTTTTGCAAAAAGAGGCTATAACTCTGATAACTTTCCAGAACAGATCAAAATCAACATCGCCATATAAAAAATCATTCACTGCGTTTTTCCATTTTATATTATGATGTAGATCTTTGATCCATTGCGGTTTACAAATGAGAACGCAAAGGACATGTCGCCATATGCTTTCATTCCTTTCTCAGCAGGTCCAAGGTAAGCGTTATGGCAGTCGTTTGTTACTACTTGTTTGATAAGGTTTATTGTTGAGCTCCGTATATTTTCCCTGTTCTCAGTCGGGTTCCTGGTGAATAGGCCCTGAGGGAGAGGCCTTGAGGGAAGCCCTTAATTTAGACAAGAACGAGACCTAAATAGCTGAGAACACTCTCCCCTTTCCCTAATCTAAAGAGCTGGATGAATGTCCCTCTCTTTTCACTCCATGTCTGGATCCGCTCTTAGGTATCGGGCAGGCGATACTTATCCCTATTCAATCATGACTTAAAGTTGTTTCGTTAGCTAATTGGACAACTCCTTCTGAAAGCTTCGTGACGCCCGCTGGAGTTTGCAAAGGACAAGAACTAACACTATTCCCAAATTCAGGAACTATAAGGAGAATGTGTACAAGGTTTTGCGCGACGATTTCTGGGATCGTTTGGGTGGAAAGCCATTGGTAAATGATTAGTCACTTGCATTAGGACAACCATTAACCAGTCATAAATTACGTGTGTCCACCTGGCCCCGGTATATCAAAAGTTGGATAGCGCTATCCACTGGACAAATCACTAACCAGTGGATAAGTATTAGGGAAACCAATTGCGCTATCCACTGGATAGTGATTTATCCAGTGGAAAGCGCTATGCACCAACCGCGGCCAGAACGATCCAAGAAATCACTAGGCTTACAACTTTTAATCACTCTTCTTATAGTTTCTGAAGTGTGGGAATTAGTTTTAAGTAAACTAATCAAGATAAAATCATAAGTGGTAAAAGGATAATTCCTTGCGCTCCATACTACTTCAGCCACGATACGATAGATTGGGGTGTAAGTAATACGCCAACGAGAGTCAGGGTCCATTGTTGTTTGTTGTGGTTTTTTCAGTTCGTTTTCCGTTTCTATGTTTGCTAGGGGGAAACAAGAGAAATTGAAACAGAAGGATAATAGACCCCGAACCTGACCCCGCGGCAGCTTTTTAATGACACCCGATAAATGTTTAAACAGTGATATTTTCCCTCTTTCGTGCCTAATCTATTTCAATCTGTATCTGTCTGAAATAGGAACTGTATTGGACAAAACTTTGCACTGACAGAGGTTAAGATTTCAGTAGCCATGATACTTCGCAAGTGAGTTTAACTTAGAACAGCTTTTACGCATGGAGATAAAATGAGTTCGAAAATCAGGCCAATGCTGGAGTTTGTTCTACCCAATTCCGAACCAGTGTCACCTGACACCTCAAACTGGTCGAGTCAAAAACCTCGTAGTAGACTTTTTAAAAGTCCTCCTTTTTTCATGGTTGGTTATGCCATTTTAAAGGACTTTTCATACTAATTGTTTGGCGCGAAATTCACAGGTCAAAAATTCCATCAGTGACGTCATGACAATTGACCAGTAGGAGAGTGATGGTTTTAGCCTGACGTAACCTGCTGATATTTGACGCCACTCCAGACGCAACATATATCAGTCATTTTTCCCTCGTGAATTTATAATATAATTCAAATCCATTCAGGCAAAACAAGTGGACTCGCGACTTCGTCGTTTGCTCGGTTGCTGCGCGACCTCATTTATGCCCGCTTCGTTCACGTTTCCTCAATGAAGCTCGTTTTGCTCGCTTTTAACAATTTATTACAGGTCGACTTTGGCATGCAAGTCTTATCTCGCAGGTACTATTGAGGGAGCCATTGGCTGTCCAAGGCCTTTCTGTTCCCATTACTGGTTTATGAATCCTTACTTAAATGTGAATGAAGTTACGCATCAGGTACCTCAAGTCAGCTTCAAACGCTTGATAAAAACGTTTATTGCCAGGAAGGACGAAATTTCTGTGGCTCAGTACTAACTGAAAGCGTTGTTGGCATGGAGGCCTTAAGCAGGCTTCAATCTCTCTCCTTGTTGAGTCGAAGGTGTTATTAATAAAAATAATTGATTGTTTTACTTTTCTCTTTAAACGCAGGTTCAAGTTATCTCTTGATTCTGCAAACGTCGTCCCAGTGGATGATCTGATTCCTGAACTCATATTACGCTCCAAGAATGGAATACGGATTAATATCTCAACCCGCATTTAATGATGTAAAATCAGTAACTCATGATCAGGGACGTAACATCTTTCATGATCTTTTAAGCCCGAGCTGAAAAAATCGTAGGGGGAAGGGCTCTTTCAGATAAAGAAAATACGGTCATAGTCAGTATCAATGATAATAACCTTTTTGACTTATTCATAAAGATCTCTACTACACACATGTATAACCCTCAAGGTCAGTAAAGATGTGAGTACTTCTCTGTGTGTCTGCCTTGTGTGCACTAGGGCAAGGGATCAGACGTTCTGTCAGTATCAAAGATTGTAGATGTCATGTTTTTCTGCCTTATCATAGTGCAAAATCGTGTATCTTTAGAGTCGCAGTGGACACTGACCATTGCGAGGAGAAAAATGGGCGCCGTGGTGGCTTTCTTAGTTGTAAGGTCTTCATAAAACAACCAGCGGCGTAGCTGCCTTTAAAGGCTGGTTTTCACTTGCGACGGAGTCGAAGTCGTAATCAGAAGCGTAGAACTTTACGATGTAGGGTAAACAGCGTTCTGATTCCGCTTACTACTCGGTCGTTTACGATCAAGTGAAAACTGGGTCGTCGGAGTCGCAAGCAGAAGCGGAAGAAATAAACCAATCACAAAGCGTGGGAACGTGCTTTGTGATTAGTTTATCCTTCCACTTCTGCTTCCGACTCCGACAATCTGGTTTTCACTAGATCATAAGTGGAACGTAAGCGGCGGAGTCGGAAGAAATGGAAACGTTCTGATTCTTCTGACTCCGATTCCGTCGCGCTTATGACTCCGCTCAAGACTCCGATTTTTGATTTTCACTAAGTCATAAGCGTTCTTACAACTCCGACAACGTCGCTAGTGAAAACCAGCCCTTACGACTCCGCTTACGACTACGACTCCGACTTCGACTCCGAATCCGCTTACGACTCCGACTCCGTCGCTATTGAAAACCAGTTTTTAAGCCCGGGCCTAACAAGAATTGGGGTCAAACTGAGTCCATATCCTATCGCGAAAGGGTGTAAAAATGCAACTCATTCTAGTCGCGGTGATGGGTATGTTAAATTGGCACATAAAGTCGACTCCCGATAACTAAATTCGACACAAGACAAAGATCAAGAAGTCTACGCATTAGGTTATAATTTTCAAAACAAACTTTATTTTCAAAGCGATTGAATGTCTTCAGCATGTTTTATACTCTCATAAACACGCTTTTTCATCCAATCGGAAAGCGGGTTATATCTGAACTTTATAATAAATCGTAATAAAATCATGCTTTGGCCAATCTGTGATAAATAAAAGTCCCCTAATAACCCTCCCATACACCGCGTACCCAAGGTCGTTCTTAAAAGATTTCATGGACGATTTGAAAGGAAACCAACCACTGCCCAGCAAAATATATGACTAAAAGTGAAATATGTTGATATCATTAGGATACTTTGCCAACTTTAATCGATCTTGACAAATTTTCATCTTTATCTAATGCAGATGTGCTGATTTTTCTCTGTATCTTTGTTAATCGCTACGTAAACACAAACGTGAAAGGTATTGCCCCTAAAAATCCAGTCAAATCATCTTTAAGAACAGGGATTAATTGTTTTGTCCCACGTGGAGTAACCGATTAAAGCTGTTATATTACATTAATACTGTAAAACAATGTTTTAGACTAGATGAAACACGAACTATGAATTTATTATTGAAACGGTTTAAAAATCTTTGCCCAAATCTGTCTATTCTTTCAATAATCCTGTTATTCTAGATTACGTTTTACGAGAACATTAGTCCTAATAGGTCAGAAGTGTTTTATCAGACTAAAAACAATCACTTTGTATTTATATCACGATTTTTTTAGATTTATTATTTTCAACAAGGAATTTTTTTCTCGCGTTTTACCTTTGCAGTGCTTTTCCAACGTCGTTTGTATACTGTGAGCAAAAATTAAACGTCCTTATAACAGACAACGGGCTAACCACTAACCACGAACCAATTAAAATTGCATTTGTATATTGATATAGATGCAAATAATATAACTGCACAAAATTAAGACATTCTCGTTAAAAAGTATACTGACCGCCAACGGGGCAGTTTTAACGTATGGTCCAGCGTACACGACTTTGCTCAAACTGGACATTTTCGGGCTGCGCGAAGACTGAGTCGGTTTTGTTTCGAATTGCATTGCGGTTGCACAGGAGAAGAAACTGGGTCAAAATTTGTTCTCAAACCAGCCCCACAATGCAACTCGAGACAACACCGATCCAGCCTCAAGCGCAACCGGAAGTTGGCCAATTAAATTAATTTCAAAATTGTCGGCACACAAATCAGTACACTTTTGACTAACTGACACAGGTCTGTCTAAGGTTGTAAACGCATACAATCAAATGTGTTTATGAAGACTGTTGGCAAAAATGTCGGATTTTCATGGTTTACATGTGTACAAAAGAAGAGAACGCACTGTTTGAGTTTCCAAACTTGAACGGACGCAAGCGGTCACGCAAAGAAGTAAGCAAAATACCCAATGCATCTATTTGTGACTTAGATTGTAACGGCCTTGTTTTACTAGCCGACTCTCCCCAGGGAAAAAAGGGAAATGATCATTAATTGAATTTTACCTAGTTTCTTACTCTAGGCGGGAACAATACGTTAAATACTGTGGGCCGGTGTCAATTCCTTTCCTCACACAGCCCCTGAAAGGCGGACTACACCACGGGGGTGCGTCCCTTTTTTGCAGTCGTGTCCAGTATGATGGTGCGTGAGCAGTTAAGAGCCAAATTCTGTGGTGGCAGAATCAATTGGTTTGTACTCATAAGAACCTCTCCCGTCCATGTATAGCACATACTACGAGAAAAAAGTAAAAGGTTTTGATAAACAAGTTTCAAGCGTTGCAGTTCGTAATATGGTCAGTTCGGACGAAACTTTCGGATTTGCAGAGTGAAATAGTTTCACGAAACGCAGACTTCTACTTTTGCAACACTGCCACACCTCCTGTGATGATAAAATTACAACTTTTAACTTCGTTGGTTAGACTAAATAAGAACAAGTTTCGACTGTTAGGTTTCTTCCCAACGCCATTACAGATCATTGTAGACACGTCTTAACTTAAATGTGACCATTCAAAGCGACTGAACTGAAATAACTACTGCAAAGCAAAAAAGAAACGATTCACAAACCTCGTGATATTTCCACAGCGACTTGCGATGAGATACAGTGAACAGAGTGATACCAACCTTAGATGGTAGAAATAAACAAAATTTAATTTTTACACAACTTCAATGTAAATCAGTGCTCAACTGTTTGAGTTCTGTGTCAAATAAAGTTTCTATTTTGGGTATTCTGTTAATTGAAACTAAACCCTTCATCCATTTACGATTGTGGTCAGAACCAAAGCGGCACAAAAGAACAACATGCACACCTACCTCTTTACACCGAGTATACATAAAGCCTTCGACGTCCACACTAACAGCACTTGTGCATTCATCAAGAATGGCAAACTGTGGCTTGTGGTAGAAAAGTCGAGCCATCTATTGTACATACACCAAAAAAACAACAACAACATCAACAACTAATTCGTTACAGTTTGACGTAAACCTCTTTGACTCCCCCGAATTTGAAAATGACGTACAAAAGAAGTTAACACGAAAAATGGCGGCTACGGAACACGGGCAAAACCGGCCAAAATAAAACAGATAGAATGTTTAAAAGTGATGTGCTACTTACAGCCATTCTTTGTTTTTCTCCTCCGCTGAGAACGTCCATCCAGTCCTACAGCAGATAGAAACACTCGATAAATAACAATTTACTTCTTTACCTATATTTACGCAGTATTTACCCCTTCAGCAGGACTGATATCAATGGGTGTCCTGATAACAAAGAGTAACAAGAAGAACTCAAACCAAATTGTCTGAAGATAGAGTCGCACCATGCAATAACTCACAAGAGATAACTTCCATGAAAGAGAAGTTTCAACTGCAGATGAAAGTTATCAAAGATACGGCTATCCTTACGGAGAACGATGAAATTAGATCACGATGGAATGAATATTGTGAAGATTGGCACTTGATAGAGATAGTTTCCGCTGTGCGGTCAAAGATGCGACGTCCAATACTGAGGAGAAGCGGTTAGAGTGTAGTATTAACCAATTAATGCAGAGAGCTTCAAGCGAAGTTTTTGCACAAAGCTCAGCAAGAAAAATAAATGTCAAAAGACGAACGCGAGAAAACTAAAATCACCACACCTGAATTGTGTCCCAGCTTCCTTCACGCTCAAGAATATTACCAAGATGAACCTGAAATACAAAAAATAAATACATTAAACACATATAAAATTATCAAGAATTTGTCAACGACAGAACCCGAAATACATTCGGAGTGAGCTTGGGAGAACAGAAATGCTTTCAACGAAAATATGTCGGCTAGCTAAAGCTGAAACCATATAGGAACCATAACACCCTGCAATACTCAGTTATTTGTTCCCCAGAGGATGTTCTGAGGCTTAGCAACTCGCCTGGTTGAGGTACTCCTCAAGATCCTGATCAGTAAGCCCTTTCCTGTGTAAATCTTCTTTGGTGTCAGGATAAATAACTTGGTCCCTCAAAGTTCCCAGTGTCATGTAAGGACGCTGAAATAACAAATTCAAAAACTTGTTGGTTAGCCATGAAGAAAATACAAAAGCAAGTTAAGTTAATGAGTTTCTTTTCTCCTGGGCCCAGTTGTCCGAAGGCCGATTAGCGCTTAAACCCAGGGTTACATTTAACCCGGGTTTCTTTTTCTATTGTTCAAAAGCATTTTCGCGGATAATTTTCTCTGTTATTTTTAAGAGCATCCAATCATCAACTCGTTGACAAAAACAATTAAACTGAAATTACTTATTAAGCTTTCATATCTGAACTCTAATTTCGCCCTAACCCTGGTGGATTATCTTAACCCAGCTTTGAACAACCCGGCCCTGGAGCATGGTACGAATTTCGCTCTAATACAACAAACTCTAAGAAGAAATCCTTAGAATACTGAAGACTGAATACATTTAGTTCTTTACGGTTTGTAAACGAGACACGGAAAGAAGGAAGGATATTATTTAAACTCGACCCATCTTACCTGTGGAACGTAGAAAAGCTTGCTCCTGTGTGGTTTGACGAGTTTACCTCCAAAGAGAGGCCACAACTAAAAGGACATAAATTATTGTTCAAATTAAGTAATTTTAACATTTGCCTCATCCAGTAAAAGCCACAGCAAGCAACGAGACCGCGTCGTCCTTGGTGCTTTGTTCTCGAGTAAATGCAAAAACTTTTTTCCAGTTAACCGAACAACGCTCGAACGGGTGAGGGGAGTAGGGTGGTGTTGGGGTGTGGGTTGGTGTGAAGTGTGATGCGAGAGGTGGTGTGAGTGATTCAAGCAAGCTGTTTTCTCCAAAGACTTCTCCACCAAAATATCCAAGATGACGATTTCATGTTTGAACTTGACGGTTTAGAGATATTAACGCAAAAAAAGACTGGATTGACCATCGCAGAGTGTTTGCCAATCTCGTCTCCAGGCCCTCTATCGTTCCAAATGGCGGCTCGGAGAAAACCCAGAACTACGCTACTACTACTGATTGTTGTAATTTATTATTATCAATTTTGTTTTTAGAGGGCCACTAGGGAGAATGCTTCATAGTAATTGGTGTCACTCTCTTAAAATAAAGGTTATT